CCCTTTATAGTTATGACAGATCCTATCCTCGGTTAATTACTGATGTACAAAAATAACTGCTGTTATTGTGCAAACAATGCGACTGCTACTTACACTGAGCTTGCAAGTGCTGTGCAAATATTAATGAATTATTTCTCAGCAGTCACACACCCCTTGAGGATTAGCATTCTTATTCTGTAACTTGGGAAACTGAGATGAAGAAAAGTTCAGTTCAGTGACTTACCTGAGACAATGCATTATCAATGTCACGTGTGCCAAGGCCATATCCAAGTCTTAAAGAAAGCCGAGATTAGAACTCATACATTTCTCTTTCATTATCCTGTATTCAGCCCACTTCATAGAACTGCCTTATAATTTTATAGGCCTTTTGCCTGTTAGGAGGAATTTCCTTGCTTAGGGCAAAATTCTCCACTTGGGTTTGCACTTGTTCTATGAATGCACTGTCATCAGGAGTCCAATGCAGAATATGCAATAGTAATCTGCAGTATGGGTAAGTATGGTTAAGATAAATGCTTGGAGTTACAAGGATGGACCATGTTTGGAATGGAGGAGTGAAGGGAAGTATGAAGGTGGTAGCAATTAGAGAAAGGCTGAGGGAATCCAGGCTTAGAAGGTTTGGTCGTGTGAAAAGACGATCAGAAGAATATATAGGAAACAGGTTTTGAACTTAGAAATGAAGGGTAAGAGAAAGGTTGGAAGACCCAAAACTTGGATCTTGGATGGATGCCATACAACAGGATTTGATAAGCTGCAGAGTTTCTGAGGAACTGCTTTGAGACAGACTAGAAAAGGGAAGTACTTGAAGGGCGGACCCCATATAGATAGTTAGAAAAGGAAGAATCTGTGGTATGGGTAAGAAATACGCAGTGTGTCCATCCTGGGGGAGGATTTTCTCTTAGTTGTTTCTATATTGCCGTCACTGCAATAACCCCATGTAAATATAAACAAAACATAGCCATTGCCCACTACCTTGCCATGTGAAAGCACCCCAGGCAAACTTGCCACATCTGAGGTGAACAAACTTGGAGACATTGAATAAAGTAGAAAAAATGTATTTTCTGTCCCCCTACATTTTTTAGCTTTGTAATATTTATTAGACAAATACATCAATGATGTTAAGTTTAACACATTGCATTCCCCACACTCCCAAAGGTCCCTTGAAGCTGAAATTCAGTCTTGGGCACAGACACTGGGACTGTCAAAGCAGCCTCAGGGAATTAGGCACTCAAATCCTATTGAAATTCAGTGGCAGTTGGACACCTAAGTCCTGTGGGCTCCTTCGAAAATCCCAGTCTCTATGTCTATTGTAAGCACAGCTGCATCATTTCTTTATCTCCAAATAGCTCCAAAACAATTTGGGAAATTTAATCAATTTTGGAGGTGATTCTGCAAAAACATATGTGTGACTATGCAAGCAGTCCCGGATCAGGCCCTTAGGTAGTACTTTGGGGAAATTAAAGGCTTGTAAAAGCTCAGGGCCAAATTCAGGCCTGTTGTAAGGAGTTTGGCTGCAACTCCACTGAATTCAGTAGAGATGTACCTGCTTACCGTAGAGCTAAATTTGGCTAAGTTTAGGCTGATTTGGTTGCATTGGTTTGATTTTTCCCACCCTCTTTTTAATATAACACAGGAATTACATTTATAGCAACAGACATGTTATAATGTACTGTCCATCTTAGCATTGCAAAGTGCTTTGGAAAGGTGTGGGGAGAAGCACTTCCCACATTTTATGGATGAGAAAATAGAGACATGAAGATCTTACACTGAGATCTGCAGGGGCAAGCACCTGGGCAGCACCATGCTGAAGTCAGTGGGACTCCATGCAGATGCAGAGGTCCACCTGGGCAGAATTCGAGGTAGGATCAGGACCTTAGTGACTTGCCAAGTGAGAGACTAGAAGGCCAGGAACAGAAACTAAGACTCCTGAATCCCACTGCAATACTCTATCCATGCTGCAACAGATAGGGTGCTTTCACATGGCAAGGTAGTGGACACACTGCGTATTTCTTACCCATACCACAGATTCTTCCTTTTCTAACTATCTATATGGGGTCCGCCCTTCAAGTACTTCCCTTTTCTAGTCTGTCTCAAAGCAGTTCCTCAGAAACTCTGCAGCTTATCAAATCCTGTTGTATGGCATCCATCCAAGATCCAAGTTTTGGGTCTTCCAACCTTTCTCTTACCCTTCATTTCTAAGTTCAAAACCTGTTTCCTATATATTCTTCTGATCGTCTTTTCACACGACCAAACCTTCTAAGCCTGGATTCCCTCAGCCTTTCTCTAATTGCTACCACCTTCATACTTCCCTTCATTCCAAACATGGTCCATCCTTGTAACTCCAAGCATTTATCTTAACCATACTTACCCATACTGCAGATCGCTGCCAAGTGAGTATTACAGCTGGGATTTTTTCCTAACCTTTTCCAATATGTGCTGAAAGATGTTTACATGTTAAGGTATTGCAGCAAGGCTGTTCTCTTTCTGAGGGCAGCTCACAAAGTTGGCCAGTTATCAAAGAACAGTACTTTTTACTACTGTTATGCTTCCTTGTAGCTGATCTTTTCAGGAGTCAACAGGGTCTGATATTTGTTCAAAACAATGCACATCAATGCTAATACAGTGGAGGTGCTTCCTTTTTTAATTCTTCCAGGGTGATGAAATTTCTCGTTCACTTATGAAATGCATCGTGTTCTCAGGCCAGCATTGAAGCACTTTGATGAAGCAACTGGCAGTGCTGCTTCCTGCGCTGTGCTTTCCTTTCCCTGTCAACAGTAAAATTCAACCCATAACTTAAAAGGTTAAAAGAAAGTAATTTTGGAACAATCACATTGAAATGCAAAAAGAATTTGTGGAACAGATGCTATCATGAAGACCCACTCCTTGGTGCCGCTTTCAGGGGCCCAAGTCCTTCTGATATATAAATATATATAGCAAGGCTTTTTTTTTTTTTTTTTTTTAATGGAAAATTGGGATTTTGCCTAAATGAAAATTTTTGCAGCAAAATGCTTTCCATAAAAATTTTCTCTTTGTTGTTTTTGATGTTGTTGGAAAACCGGATAAATGAAAATTTTCAGCTGAAAAGTGAAGTTTTTGGTTTTTGGGTGAAATTTTCAATGAAACACCTCCTGTTTTCTGAGACGCTCTAAAAATCAGCACCTTCACAGGAGACTCAGCACTACACAGAACCAAACCCATAGTTAGTATCTGTTGCACAGGTTATTGCTAGCTTCAGGTTTTTTTATAGTTTTAATTTTTTTGAACCAGATCAACAGCCCTGAAGTCTGGAATGTGGACCAATATCTATTCTCAGTGAACTGGTGTAAATCCAGTTACTCTGGCTTTAGACCATTATAACCAAGAGCAGAATCTGGCCCTGTATTACTTTAACCCCAGGAGAGGCACAGCATGAGGATTAGTAGTTCAAGCTTTCCTACTGCTGTATCCCCATTGCTGTGCCTCTTTGTGTACTGGAGACATGGAACCACATTTCCACCAGTCTAAACAAGGAATAATTCCAACAGAGTAGCGTGAGGCCCTATGTGTGTTTCAACAATAGGGAGGGATAGCTCAGTGGTTTGAGCATTGGCCTGCTAAACCCAGGGTTGCGAGCTCAATCCTTGAGGGGGCCACTTAGGGATCTGGGGCAAAATCAGTACTTGGTCCTGCTAGTGAAGGCAGGGGGCTGGACTTGATGACCTTGCAAGGTCCCTTCCAGTTCTAGGAGATGGGATATCTCCATTAATTATTATTATAACAATAATTAACTTTTAACCATCTGAATCTGGATCTTCCTATTATAATGAAACTATCTCAAAAAAGAGAAAGCATAGGTATTAACAAAGACAAAAGCGGAGACTTTTTTGGCAAGCCTGTATAAATGTACATAGGTTTAAAACATTGCTGAAGATATTGGGGGGCTCCTAGAAACCTGCTTGTTAAAATTGCACAACTACATTAGAAGGTAGACTAAGATGAGTGCCCCGCATAGTCACCCTCTGTCTGACTACTGCAGTATAATTCCAGTCACACTTGTAACATTTATCCCCGGAATTCTTAGGCTCCTTTTGCCTTTGGAATATGGTTTGTATCAAAAGACCAGGTATTTTTAAAAAAATCCCATGAGAGGATCCTTCCCTCCACAACCTTCATATGTATATTAAAATTGGAAAGCAAATAGATTCATAACCTTTCTGCCCTCTTCTTTGTGAGCACAGGTATGCCTGATTCAAGGTGTATGGAATAAAATAAGGGGGACAGTTTTGTGGGAGACACTTGTTAAATTATTGGCAGCACAGCACAAGGTAATTGCTGTTTGATTTCCGCATTTGTTTTTCACTGGTTAGAACAGGGATCAGCAACCTTTGGCACGTGGCCCGCCATGGTAAGCACCCTGGCAGTCCGGGCTGGTTTGTTTACCTGCCGCATCCGCAGGTTCGGCCGATCGCGGCTCCCACTGGCCGCAGTTTGCCGCTCCAGGCCAATGGGGGCTGCAGGAAGCGGCGTGGACCGAGGGATGTGCTGGCCACCGCTTCCCGCAGCCCCCATTGGCCTGGAGCAGTGAACCGCAGCCAGTGGGAGCTGCGATCGGCCAAATCTGTGGACGTGGCAGGCCTGGTGGGCCGCATGCCAAAGGTTGCCAATCCCTGGGTTAGAACAATGACACTAGTCCTGCCTCTCCACTCCAGTTGTATACTGGTGCAACTTCAATGACTTGCCCTGGTCACATAATGAATCCCTATTAGATCCTCCAATAATAGAACCCATGAGTCCTGACTCACATTTACCTCCTTTAGATCACTAGACCACATACTTGCCCTTGCATGGTATATGTAAAGCAAAAAAATATAATGGCTGAATTTTCCCCTCAGTTATACCCAGGCAACTCCACTGATTTCACATTATTTTGAATACTATACAGCTTCAGTGTTTCTTGGGTGTAAATGAGGAAAGAATTTGGCAGTTCACTGTATTGGGCATTTTGGACAAAAGTTCATTTTCACTTAAAGGTCTGTAGATGACTTCAGTGTCACTACTGTAGTATTCTTTTTCATAATACTAGTCATAGTAGCATCTGTTGGCTGCTGTAACTCAGATTGCCGCACACAAAAGCAGCGCTTGAGCATGTTCAGGATATCCGTTCTCCCAGTTTCACTCACAAAGCAGTACAGAATTGGGTCAGCAATACAGTTGAAACTTGTTAAGGCCTGTGTAATTCTATAAGGCTTAAACATATGGATAAAGTTGTCATTGTCTGGCTCATTGATGCTGCGAATCAGCAACACAGCATGGTAAGGAGTGAAGCAAAAGAAGAAAGTAATGATGATGCTCAATAGCAGCTTCTTGATTTTCTTTTTTTCTCTATCTTCTGTGGCTTGATTATGCCTCACAGCTTGGTAGATTTTTTGGTTGCAAAACAGCATGATTGCCAAAGGGATCATGTATCCTGAGCATATCCGGAAGATGTTTAGTATGGCTTGCCATTTTTCCAAAGGGTATTTATCATAACATAAGAGATGGTCAGTGGAATTGCAAACCTTGTGGAATGTTTCATCCTTCACCAGAATCATACTGTTCAGGCTGGTTTCCAAAACCCAAACAAAGATGCTAACAAGCAAGGCAGATCTTCTTGTGCGCAAGTGTTGGAACTTGAGAGGGTGAACTAATGCCAGGTATCTATCAACGGAGATGCAAGTGAGGAAGGCAGCACTGGTGTAAAAATTCATGTACATAAGGAAGGCAGAAATCTGGCAAAGCAAAGCAGAGAATTGCCAGGTATCTTCTCGCCAAGTGTAATCAATCCACAGAGGCAAGGTCAGAGTGTATAGGAGGTCAGCTAGGGATAAACTGAAGAGGTATATAGCTAACTCATTTTTTTCCCTCACTTGTATACAAGATACACAGAGGAATGTACAATTGACAGGAATACTGACCACAATCACAGTGATGTAAACAAATGGAAACAAGTTCTTATCCAGATTGTAATCGTCCATGCACTCAGTGCTATTCATTGTCCGCTCTTTAAAACAATCATTGAGTTAATTCCAGCCTGGATACAGAAGAGCAAGCTCTGTAGTCTTATGGATCACTTTCTTCTGCTAATTCCCCAGGGCACAACGACAAGGATCCCATCCACTGCACTGAAATTTCTTTCTGTTGCAAGAAAAAAAAAATCATTTGGTTGATCATTCAGTTAACCTGGTGTGCAAAAATGCAGTGGTCCTTCGAAAGCTCCAAGCCAATGCAGGAGTAAAAGAGCTAGACTCATAAGACTTGATTCTCATAGGGGCCAGTTGCTGCTCCCTGATTCAAAGCTGTCCAGCTTTGGCACAAATAGGGATGTATAGGGGCTGCCCCCAACTTATGCCAGTGGAGGAGCAGGCATTGTGGAGTGCTTCTGTGCAGTGCCCCCTCCTCTCCCTGTCCCACCCGTGCCTCACCCTTTTAATGTCCCTGACACATCTCTTCCTTCTCCTTACACAGAGGATCAAGTTGGTGGCTGACACAGATAGCAGCAGAGCCTCCTGCACCAGCTTCAAACCAGTGGAGAGTTCTTGTGCACAGGCGGCATTCTTCACTGGCCTTCTCTGGATACTTTAAAGCCACTCTGTGCTGTCTACACAGCGACATTAAGAAATAACTAACAGACTTGCCATCAGGTCAGTTTCATGACTCAGTATAATACCTGTAGCTTCAAATAATTAATTCCAAGATCAGAGTCTATGCTGTCCTAACGCACAGGACAATCTCCCAGTTCCTACTCATGAAGCCAGCATCTTTCAGATCCCTTCGAAGAGCTCCGTACATGAAGTAAGTTTATTTTCTTATTTAAAAAAGGAAGGATTCCCATTTACTTCAATGGGCTTTGGATCAGGCCCATAGCGAATGTAGTAGCAACATCAAATCAAGCTTGAATTGCTGACAATTTCAAAGACAGATTAGGTTTTTTTTAAAGCTTTAAAGCTGTTCCTAGTGCCATACGCAGTATTACTCTGGATTAGCAATGTGCTTCTTAATGCTGAGATTCCCACTGTGATGAATTTCTCCAGTTCTCATTTTTATCTTTTTAAAAAATTGTTACTGATATGGCTCATCTTTGTGAGCCAGTCAACCTTCATTTCACTTATTCTCCATGTATAAAGAGAATGGGCTTGACCTGTCCCCACTAAAGCCCCTTTACACTGCTTAAGGGGTGACCAGGGCCTTAAAAGGGACAGAAAAAGCCTTCTGAATACCCCAGTGCAGGGGTGGAACAGGCAGCCTGGCATCACCTCCTCTCAGAGACCCAACATAGGGTTTGACCAAGGAAGTGGCCAAGGGGAAGTAGGGAGGGGCTGGAACACTCTTCACTCTGGCTATTTAGAACTGTGGAAAAGCTCAGTAACTTAATGCAGAGGCTGTTTTGGCACCTAAAGCAACCCCAAATCTGCCCATTTTGCCCCTTACTCTTCTGAGTTGCACATTCTGTCTTGTGCATCCTGAGAGGTGCAGCATGGAACCTGGGCCATTCCTGAGACAATTAGTATAGGAAAGAACCAGTTCTGATGTGTATTTACTGAGTGAACAGGATATGTGCTTTGCAAAAATCAAGAGATCTCATCATCCTAATTTGTGTAAACTCTCCTTCTTTCCCTTCCTAATGCTTATAACATCTCCTTGTGTCCCAGGCCTGGTCTACACTACAAAGTTAGGTCAGTGTAAGCCACCCTGCATCGACTTACTTGTGCACGTGACTAGACTTAAATTTATCTCCCACTGATGCAGGTGCCTCATTATGCCAACATAGTAACACCAGCTCCCTGAGCAGCGTTGAGCCATGGTTGATGTATGGAGGTGAACACGGAATGCGAGTGGACACCATAGGTGCCGGAGCACCCACAGAGAAAAATTAGTGGGTGCTCTGTACCCACTGGCAGCCAAGCTCCCTCCCAGCGCTTTCCCCCTGCTGCCACCAAACAGCTGTTTGGTGGCGTGCTGGGAGTGGGGGGAGGAGCGGGAACATAGCACGCTCAGGGGAAGAGGCGGGGCCGGGGCGGGGATTTGCGGAAGGGGTTGGAATAGGGGCAGGGAGGGGGCGGATTTGGGGCGGGGACTTTGGGGAAGGGGTTGGAATGGGGGCAGGACAGGGGCGGGGCCACATGGAAGGGGCGGATTTTGGGTAGGGACTTTGGGGAAGGTGTTGGAATGGGGGTGGGGCAGGGGGTGGGGCCAGGGGTAGAGCGGGTCGAGCACCAGGGGAAAGCGGGGAAGTCGACACCTATGGTGGACACTACGTTACCTTTGTCAACCCTAATTGTCCTCCTGCAGTTATCCCACACTGCCTGACACTGATTGCTGTGGACACGCCACTGCCCATGGATCACAGAGACCATAAGTCCCCCACATTTAAAATCTCTGAGCATTTTTGAAATGCCTTTTCCTGGTTGTCCAGCTTGGTGAGCACACCTCTGTCTGTTCTCCAATGTTATGTGCAGCTGCCCAGCTGACCACACCAGCTACACGCTCCAGACATGCTCCGGCCTGAAGTAGACAGGAGATATTGGATCTCTTGGGCTGATGGGGAGAACAGGCTGTGCAGACACAGCTCTGAACCAGCAGTAGCAATGTCAGTATCTATGAGTAGATTGCTGAAGGGATGCAGGAGAAGGGGTATGACGGGGATCAGCAGCAAAGCCACGTGAAAGCCAAGGAGTTGTGGCAGGCATATCAGAAGGTCAGGGAGGCCAACAATCGATTCGGCACTGAGCCACAGACCTGCTGCTTTTACAAAGAGCTGCATGCCATACTTGATGGCTACCCCACCACCACCGCACACACCACTGTGAATACCTCCAAGGAGCCCGAGTCACAGGCCTCTGCCATGAACAGCGAGGAAAAGGAGGTAGACAAGGAAGAGGTGTATGGGGGACTGATGAGTGGGGGTCTAGCTGTGCTGCAAGCCAGGAGCTGTTCTTGACTCCACTGCAGTCTAGCCAGTCTCTGCAGTCGAACCTTGGGTAAATAAATCTCCCATTCCAGGTACAGCTCCCACAACTTAGCAGGACCCAGTGATTAACTTTTCATTAATTTACTTGTACTAGAATAGGTAGTGGTACAAAACAGAGGTAGACTTGCTGTCTGCTTTTCATTCCCTTCTAGAGTCGGGCTGGGGGTGGGGAGGGGTCAACCGTGCAGAGTAGTTTGTTTATGTACACAGGGATGTTCCTTTAATCCTCCTGACAGATCTCGATGAAATTTCCATGGGGGTACACTGCAATCCTCTTCCAGACGTTTCTAGGGATGGTGGCTTTATTTTTTCCTCTGAGATAGAATACTTTCCCATTCCAGTCAGCAATAACTTCGGCAGGCCCTATTGTCTTAAAGAGGCAGCATACGGGCCCAGGCAACTTCGGGACACCAGCAGCAGCTGTGCTCTTTTTCTCTTTGTTACCCTCAGGAGTGAAATATCAGCTAAAATCAACACTACCTGTGGAAAATGGTGCCAGCATTCAGTTCCATTGCCCTATACTCATAGTTTCATACCCCTGAGCAATTCCCTACTCGGTTCTCTCACCCCTAGCAGTCATACTCACCATTGCTTGGTTTTGAACTTAGAAATGAAGGGTAAGAGAAAGGTTGGAAGACCCAAAACTTGGGGGGGGAGTTCTGAATCTTAAGTTTTGCTTTCCATTCCTACTATACGGACAATGGTACCTCTGTGTTTTATCAGCTGCAGCTGCGGCCGCCTTGAGGGGGACCCTCCACACCAGTGGAAGGACTGACCCAGATAAGGAGAAAAGAGAGGACATAGGAGGACGTGTTCTGTGAGATCCTGCAACCAAATGCTGGATCAGAACATGAACTGAAGGCCTGGAGGGTCAATATTGCTGACTGTGTGGAGAAGAAAAACGTGGACAGCTGAAAGGCCCAGGAGTCCCAGTAGGAAAAGGAGAGGGAGATGCACCAGGACAAAATGAAGCTTCTCCGGCAGCAAACACAGATTCTGCAGACTCACTGTTAAACAATCCTGGGCTAGACTTCCAATGCAGTTTGTGGAGAACTGCAGAACAGCACCTTCCTACACCCCCTCAGCATTCCACATGGCCTCAGGGCCCACACACCTACTCCTACCACTCCACCTTGGGGGGAAGCATGGACAGCCGCAGCGGCATGTACAAATCAACTGTAGCTCTCACAGGTCAGTGTATATCACTACAATGGATATCAGTGTTCCTTCCTCTTGTTTATTTATTATTAAAGTTCCTAAAAAAATTTAAGTTAAAAAGTATTTACTTGTAACTTCTTCAGATTTTTTTGGGAGCTATTTTTGTAAGTAAATAAAAATCTTTTGTTTTGAAAGCAATTAATCTTTATTAGTTTACAACACATAATGTGAAATGCCTGCTGCCAGTGAAAGTAGTGCTCTTGTTCTCACAACCCATAGGATCAGTGCCAAACAGTGTATTCATAATAAATGTACACCAAGCACCCCAGCATTAATAGGTGCACTGTCAGTGATACATGCACAGGTGTGCAGAAAGCATCACACAATTTCTACAGCCCCAGGTTGAGCATAGTACACCATAGAACGTTACTGTGGCTCACTGTGCTCTTTCAAAGCTTTCCTAAGCCATGAGATTGTTTGATAGCCCTTGTGTCTGGCTGTTCAAACTCAGCAGACAGCTGCTCCACCTCGATGCCTGCAACAAGTTTTCCCTTTTTGCTTCACAAAATTATGCAGGACCCAGTAGGCAGCTATCATTATTGGGGTATTTTTGCACTGAGAATAACAGTTGAATGTGCTGTTTCAATCTACCAAAGATTAACTGTGATGCTGCACCTGCTGAGCTTGTAGCTGAATCTTTCCTTGGTGCTGAAGAGGTAGGTAGAGTTGTTCCTAAGAAGGGAGATGAACAGAGGATATTTGCTATGGCTGAACTTTAGAAAATGAAGCACTGCATAGTGATTTCTCCCCCTACATCTGAGGCTTCCATCTGTGGCACCAAAAGCTCCAGAGAGTCTTGTTCTAGTG